TTGGTCCCGTCAGAGTAGCTGACAATCCGCAGCTCCGACTGTTTCTGTACTCACTGTTTTCATTCAGGTTTTTCCACTAGTTAGTGCCTAATCCACTTCTGCATACTTCCTTTCAAAGCTCAGGGCTCCAGGATTATTTTCTGTATCTCTGTCAAATGTATTTTCTTTTCTTTGTTGAATAGGGTCTGTATTGCTTGTCTGCCTATCCCTCCATCTTACCAGATGTCAGAATTAATATATTTTTAGATAAAGAGTCAACACCTCAACAAATAAGTAATTCACAAAACAAAACAAAAAGAATTCCTTTTTATCATGTCTCAATAAGGGCACTCCAATTTATGATACTGGCAAGTATATCCCTGTAAAAGTAAGAGCAAGCAGCCTCTTTAATAATTGTTATTGGGAGCGTAAACCAGCAAAACTTTTTCTCTAATAGAATTTGGCAACAGTCTTTAAGAGATTCAAAAAGTCTTAAGGACACTTCTACCCAGGAATTCTGCTTCAAAAAATTTATCCTAAAAAGAAAGAATTGCCATTACAAAAGTACATTTAAGAATGTTGACTATGGTAATGTTTAGTGGGAAAGTTTAAAACAACCCAAATGTTTGAGGACAGTCCCATTTCTTCACTCCTCTATAAACGAATTACACACATACACTCTGTTGTACAATGCTCCCAAAAACAGATTGCTAAAGTTCAGGAATTTTGTGAACCAATCCCTTAGTATCGTGAAATCAGCCATCATAGGAGTATCTGTACCACAGAAATCACCAAATGCTACAAATTAGGCTTATTTCTCTCCCAGAAGAACATAGGTAAACTTTTACCAGCACACCACCACTAACTTGGACATATGACTTGTTTCAGCCAACAGACCACTGGTGGATGCGACTTGCGCAAAACTTTAAAGGTGCTCAGTAGTTTGCTTGCCCTGTTGCATTCCTGCCATTTGCCAGAATTAGAACCTGTCTTAAGGGAGAGCTAGTTCACAAAGAATGAGAAATATGAGACAAACCTGAATTCCACATGCAGCATAAAGCAGAGCTGCCCCACATGTGATAGATTAAGCAACAAAAATAAAGTGTTTTGTAGTAAGCCATTGAAATTTTGAGGTAATATAGCAGAATCAACTAATAACATTCTCAATCAAAAGAAAAATGAACAAACTGTTATATCCACATCATAAAAAATCATACAGACTTGAAATGTTATAAATTTATACTTAATCTGGAAATATGTCTAAGCTACATTATTTTATTTAAAAAATAAAAGTTTACAAACCAGAATAAACAGTATGATATTTCTGTTAAAAATATGTACATGCAAAAGTATTTACAGAAATGTTCATAATGGCTCCTTCTGGGTGGTGGAGTTAAAAGCAGTTTTTACTTTAAAATATCAGACAATAAAGAAAGGTGGATTTTTTTATTTTTGAGTGGATTTTCACTTTTACTAATTACAAAACAAGGCTATTACTGTTTGTCATGGACTGAATTGTGTCTCTATCTCTCCCCACCCCCAAATATATGCTAACTTGTCTGGGCCATGATTCTCGTGATTTGACAGCTATGTAATGATATAATCTGGCAGTTATGTAATGAAGTAATCATCCCTCATGATGTGATCTGATATGATCAGCCAATCATCTATAAGGTGATTAAGGGATACAACACCTTTACTCAGGTCACAGCCCCGAGCTTATATAAGGCAATAAGGGGAGTTTCCCTGGGGTGTGGCCCACATCATCTTTTATCTTACAAGAGAGAAAAGAAGAAAGAAGCAAACAGAGAAGGCGGGACCAGACTACCATCAAGAAAGAAGAGCCAGGAATCGAGTATGTCCTTTGGTCCCATGGTCTTTGCACAGAGAACCTCCTAGACCCAGAGGAAGACTGAAGCCAAGACACATGGAGATCTCCAAGGGATACTGGGCCCACAATGTTGAAAGGAGATCTTCCTCCAGAGCCAACAGAGAGAAAACCGTCCCCTAGAGCTGGTGCCCTGAATTTATACTTCTAGCTTTCTAAACTGTGATAGAATAAATTTCTGTTTGCTAAATCCTACTTGCGTAGTGATACTGCCTCGGAAACCCAAGGAGGGGTCGCTATGAGTCGGGTTTGACTCGACGGCACATAACAACAACAACAACAAATCCATCCTTAGGAGCTCTGGTAGCATAGTGGCTAAAGCACTTGACTGCTAACCAGAAGGCTGGCAGTTCAAACCCACCAGCCACTCCTCGGAAGGAAGGTTGGGTAATCCTACTTCCGTAGCGATACTGCCTCGGAAACCCAAGGAGGGGTCGCTATGAGTCGGGGCCGACTCGACAGCACATAACAACAACAACAACAAATCCATCCACCTGTAGTAGTTCTGTTATAGAAGCACTAGGTAGACTCTATGTCAAGGGAGTGAGGGTAGGAATTGAATGTGCCAAACACTGAGAATTCTATAAGCCATCCAGCAATGTTTGGAGCTAAAGTAAAGTAGAAAGAATTCAAAACAGTCACTCCGGATTTATAAATGTCACATTATAAGAGGATAGTCAATGTGATGATATTCATGTATTGCTTTGGTTTTCTCCAAGAGCTGGATGGGCAAATAATCACCTACAAAGTGATGCTCCAACCATGTTATTAAACTGGCAGATTCCTGAGCATCATCCCAAATCTAGAGATTCAAAAATCCTTGAAGGGACCAGGATTTTGTCATTTTAAAGACTGAAAATACTGACCTATATGGCAGAAACTACATGAGGACTAGTTAAATACAAGCTGTACTGAAGTTTGACCAAAGACAGCAGAGAGTATACTTTGATGGTGAGTTCCTGAAGGTCATTAAATTACTGCTCCTGTACATTTAAGCTATGTTCAATAAAATTTACTTAGAAACAGATATAAAATCATCATTAACATTAGCAAAAATAAGAACTATGAAATTAAGTAGAATCATGTTCACTGTTGCACTAAATAACCTACTCAACAACTGTTCATGAAATTGCTTTGAAAATCATGAAGTGCTCTCTCTAAATATAAAGATTTATTTTGCAGCATCTCTCACTGGCATTCATTCACTCATTTGAAAGTTTCAGTACACCAAACACATGGCAGATGCCTATAAATCTGTTTGGTGAGTGAATTTATAAGTAATTGCTAACACTATGTGCCACACATTAAACCACACAGCAACCCTGTAAGATAGGTACTATTATCCCCATTTCCAGATGAACAACCTGATGGAGAATGGGGAAGAGGTTTGCCCAAGCTGGTAAGTAGACAGAGGCAGGATTCAAACCCAGGCAGGCTGGCTCCAAAATTTGTGCAACCAATGCTATACCAGCTTCATTTAAAATAAAACATTATTTCCTAGTAATAGCTCCCTAAATGAATCTCAAATATCTTTGAAAGGTTTTGCTGCACACCATATTAACATTTTCTTTTGGCAAAATGAACACTACTGCAGACTTTTCTAATCTGTTTAAGACATTTATAAGAGCTGAATGTCTTTTTCTCTTATGTTTGTTATTTGCTCAACAACCTAGTTTTGAGAAATCAATAATCTTTTACCAAGATATCTATGGTCTTAGTGTGAAGACCTGCAATCTTGGAACCACTGTTTTTTTATTACAAAATATATGATTAACTATGAATAAGTAAAACAATTTTGTCCAGAGATAACTACTGTTGATATGGCATTATATACTCACATATGTGTGTGTGTGTATTTATATGCATAATTCCCTTGTACCACTACCACCCAACAAAATAAAATGAAATACATAAAGTCACTGTGTAAATTGAGAACTGAAGTACCTTACGCTGCAAAAAAGACAGGAAATGAATCATTGTCAAGAGACATGAAATATTTTAAGTTACTGTTCACAATGTAAACCCTGAGAACACTGCTTTTTTACAAATAACCAAATTCTGGTTGGTAGTAATCATTTTCTGAAAACAAAAATAGTTTCACATATTTGTTTATGAAAAGTCTAGTTTATGAAAAGTCTACAACCAGGCTTTCTATACCCTTATAAAAGAGGAAAGGCTTTACATCAGAAAAATATTAAAGAAAGGAGTTTTCTTATATTTTGCTATGTATTCAGCTTTCTACATTAAGAATTGAATTAAGTTAAAAGTTCTATGTAAAAAGTACCTGAGTATTTCTGCTATCCTACTTAGCAACACTTAGCAAAGCCATTGGGCAATCCTACTTCCGTAGTGATACTGCCTCGGAAACCCAAGGAGGGGTCGCTATGAGTCGGGGCCGACTCGACGGCAAACAACAACAACAACAACACTTAGCAAAGCCCTCCTTAGTTACTTCACTTACATTAAACATTCTGGGGTCCTAGCCATTTTCTCGACTTCAGACCCATCATCATGGTGGACCTGGAGCACAGCCATACACTAAAGCTCCATGGCTTGATCCAAACCAAACCCATAATCATTAAGTGACTTCTAACTCATAGCAACCCTACAGAACAGGGTAACATCACAGAAACATCTGTGAAACTTTTTAAAAACAGATTACTGGGTACTATACTCCCCTAAGTATACCCTCACTCAACCATTCTTCCACTCCCCAAAAGACTAATTGAGTAGCTGTACAGTGAGACTGAATTTAAAAAATAATAATTACCTAGATCCTTGCTACTCAAAGTATGATCCAAGAAGCAACGGAAGCACCTGAGATCTTGTTAAAAATGCAGAATCTCAGGCCCCATCAGCCCTAATGAAGCAGAACTTGCAGCTGCATGAGATCCCCAAGTGACCAGTACAAGCATTAAAGATTGAAAAATACTGACCTAGATTGTCTTGATGTATGACCAGCTTTCAAAAGCACTGCCCTACTTACACCTCTAGCTCTCAAAATATATAATCAGGTATATGAATAAATTGTAAATGCATTTTAAATACTGCAAAGGGGCTACAACAAAAATCAGGAGTAACTGATTTTTAAGGGGCCCCAATTATGATGCACAGCTACCACAATGCTACTCACCCTTGCATGACATATGGGAACCGATGACTCTCTGCAGGGTCAGTTTGTGCTTGTGGAAGGGTACGTTGTCTCAATCCTTCTGAGGAAGAACTGGCACCTATAGACAAGGTTTCTTGACTAGATGATGGAGTTGTTGATCCTGAATGATCGGAACTCTACAAACAAAAGTGTAATTATTTTTTCAAAAACATTTAATTCACTTCAATCAAGAGAATACAGACATATTACTAAAAATGTATCTATGTAACTCTTCTGAAAAATAACTAAATTTTAGACATTTACTGATTTGACTCTTATACTCAGTACACCAAAAACCAAACCCACTGCCACTGAGTCAATTCCAACTCATAGTGACCCTACAGAACAGAGTAGAAATGCCCCATAGGGTTTCCAAACGATAAATCTTTATATAGAAGCAGGCTGTCTCATCTTTCTCCCACAGAGATGCTGGTAGATTCAAACCACCAACCTTTTGATTAGCAGCCAAATGCCTTAACCACTAAGACTCAGGGTTCAAAAAATCAAAATTGCTTAATTGTACATTTTATTTCTCAAGTAGAAAACACTAGGTAGCAAGTAAAAAGCAAACCCACTGCCATCGAGTCAATTCCAACTCATAGCAACCTCCAGTAAATCTTTAAGGAAGTAGATTGCCCAGTCTTCCTTCCATGGAGTGGCTGGTAGGTTTGAAGCGCCAACCTTCTGGTTAGCAGGCAAATGCCTTAGGCACTATGCCACCAGAGTGCCTTAGGTAACAATTATACACACACACACACACACAAATAGCATACTAAATTGTGAGGACTTAATGAATGCATGCAAAGCTCCTTTCACACAATGCCTAACACATACATAGAACACAATGCCTAACACATACACAGAAAGTGCTCAATAAAAAGTACTAATTAATGTGCCATTTAAATAGTTACTGTGTTCCAGGTACTATGTAATGCTATTGGCCACACTAATAATTTAAAAATAATGAGGAACATGATAGGAATCAGAAGATATAGAATCTGGTGTTATCTCTGACATTAAGAGTTTATGTAACTGCTCTCAAAATCTCAGCTTTCTCACAGAAACTGAGGCTGAACTAGATTTTCAAGATTCCTTGCAGTACTGCAATTCTTTTAGCTTATTGATGACTCCAACAATATTTTTTTTTTACAAAATGAATACAATACCAATGAGGATTTCTGAATTCTCATGTTAAATGATGTTAGTACCTCATTGATTCGATAACCTTAAATATATAACCCCTTGAAGTCCATTCCAATTTGTTGCTGTTTGAAAATAGTTTATGTCAAGTGTTTTATATAAATTTAAAACACAATGTACGTTTTACACAAATTACAATTCTTCTACTTTAAAAATCGGGATACAAGGTAATTTTAGTATCCTGTCAAGTTTGTTAAAATTTTTGTACTTTACCTGTACTGCCTTCCTATTGCTTGGATTTCTTTTTGCACAAGTACCCTCCTAAATCCTGTCTTATAACCTAAACACACTGGTCTTTTGCAAAACTAACAAGAGCTTTCTCTAATATACAACCCCATACAAAACAGATACCAAAATCTCTTACTGTGATGTCTGTTTGATTCTTAGAGACTTAACTTGGAAAGTCTCTTTTTTTGACCAGTTTTATCATTAAACAGATCATCATAACTTAATGTTTGTTAACACGATTAATAAAAGAAAAGGCCCAGCTATTTGACAGCACAGCCTCATTTCTCTAGAACAAATGATTTCTAACTTCACGAGGTAACTTTCTCCTAATTAGATTTTTAGGACATTTCAAAATCCCTCTGAAATTTCTGAGCCATGAGATAACTTAAGATGAATTCAACTTAACTTTCCACTGAAACATTTCAGATTTTTATGTTTTGAAAAAAACTAAGCACAAGCAGTCCCTGAGTTACTAACGTCCAACTCATGTACAATTCGTAGTTAGGAACCAACACCTATAAAACCTATTGTATTAAAAATTTAAGGCACATAGAATGCTTCATAATAACAAGAGGGCATGACTTTGTGATGTTCATCAAAACACTATTATTATTATGACTGTATTACTATGTTACAGGTGTTTCAGTGTGTCCAAAAAGTATTTAATTTTGTTATGCTTAGAAAAATTCACTACACACTAAGACAAACATTTGACTAACTGATATTAGCAATGAACTTGTACCTTACTGTTCTAACTTACGTACAAATTCGACTTAAAGACAAACTTAGGAATGGAACTCCTTTGCAATCTGAGGACTGACTGTATATGTAATAATGACATAAAATCACGGTTGAGGGACCACTAAAAACGTCAATCAGGTGAGATGATTCTTTCTCAAACAAAAACTCTAGCAACACAACTGTGCCCAGAGACTACTTACAAAACTCTATGCTGATGTCAATCTTTTGTCCCTTCATTTACCAAGCAAGAAACATATAAAGGCCCTTGAATTTCATGGCAAAGCATATTTCAGTTTAATGTAAGCTAATTTCCTATGGCTGGTACTAAAAAATGCTGCCCAGTGAGACCATACAATTAAATATAGCAACTAAAGGATCTAGTTTATTAAAGAAGCAGTTAACTAGAATCTACTAGAAGATCTTCCAACTAAATCTAGTCCTCCCCTCCCTAAAAAGAAACAGAAACTTAGCAGTAGGAAAGCTCCCTGACTGAGAAATTTACAGCAAGCTTTTACTCACCCCAATCTTTTCCCTTCACCCCCAAAGTGCCATAACGATTTCTGGGGTCTTTTGTAAATCAAAATTAATTTAACATAAGAGTACTGGGACAGTATCTTCAAAATTTGGAGATAATGTCTGCATTGTGAATTCAACTATTAAAAACATTCCCAAACAACTATGAAACACACTGCCATGGAGTTGGATCTGACTCATAGTGACCCCTCCTTGGGTTTCCGAGGTAGTATCACTACGCAAGTAGAATGCTCAACCTTCCTTCCAAAAACAACTATAGGCAGACAGAAAAGAAGGAAGAGATGAATACCCACCTGAAAGACATGAGTATATTGTTTATTCTCTCCCTGAAGTTGGAATGAATAACCCAAACCCAGTCATTTTAAGAAACAAAATTTTTCACCAAGAAATCTGCTTCAAAAAGATTTAGCATAGCTAAAATTTTAACAATTTTACCCATTTGTATAAAATCCCCATTGCCGTCAAGTGCATTCTCATAGAGACACTATAGAACTATAGAGTTTCCAAGGCTATAAGTTTTTATGGAAATTGATTGCCCAATCTTCTTCCCCTGGAGCAGCTAGTGGCTTCCTACCACCAACATCTGGCTAGCAGTCAAGCACTTAACAGCATGATTCTTTTGAATAAAATATACTGAACTCTTAAATATCTTGAATATTTCTGAAATGTCACTGGCCTGAGAGTCTGTGTTATATAGCCATATTATCATTTTGTTTTCCAAGTATTTCAGTAATGAAACCCCTATGAATTCAATCTATTACTGACCTGTAACACAACACTCATGGTAAACAGGCTTCAAGGGATCGCACTGCATGTGAGATCTCTAAAGTCAAAGTTTAAAAGCCTAACCTAGCTGTTCAAAATCCACAAGCACCAACTTTCAGATTTTTCATTTTGTTTTCAGAGGCAAAAAAAAGGATAATCAGAAAACTTTGTTTACTCCTCCTAAAATAACTCACAGAATTGCTGCTGGATGCCAGTGCTTCCCGATTTTCTCTACTGGTGCAAGACTTTGGAGAACTGGGAGGAGTCCGAGAAGTACATACTAGATGAACCATATGATACTCATCTTGCTAAAATTAAAGAAGATGATATTTAAAGGGTAGTACCAGAAAATGCACAGTTCAAAAAGTCAGTAGCTAAAGCTGAAATATTTAACTTAAAACTTTAGTTCCCTTCTGGCACAGCCATTTTTATTAGTAATAAATTGTCATTTGAAGTTAAATTAGTCATTTTAGTATTTGGGCCATTTTGAATTCAGTATTTTCTCCATGCTTGGAAAATAATTTAAATATGCAATAATTGCTATATAAAAACTTACTACTTTGCATACCAAGCAGTACTGAAACAAACAAATGTAAACTGCATCACACGATCTATTATTTCAGTACAAATACATCTAGCTTCTTGGGTTTCCGAGGTAGTGTCACTATGGAAGTAGATTGCCCAATCTTCCTTCGGAGGAGTGGCTGGTGGGTTTAAACTGCCAGCCTTCTTGTTAGCAGTCAAATGCCTTAGGCACTATGCTACCAGAGCTCCCAATATAAGAACTGTAGCAGTCACCTTTAGCTTAGGCCTACAAACCTTAAACAGTGAAAAATGAAATATTTCTATTACTTGAGAAACTGAAGCTATAAAAGAAACTCAAATAATTTCACTTGCCTTAATTTTAGCAAGGTGAGATTAGTTTTTTGTTTGTTTCTAAGTCAGACTATTTTTTTTTATACTTATGCACAGATATAAACAAAAGAATAGATTTGAACTACATATATTGTAAATATTCCATGTGTTTCCAGAAAACTACACCTATCCCAGAGGGAAAATATTCTAAGTAATGACCAGGGATGTCATTTTAGTTTAGTGACATTATGAGTACATTTATACGTAGTCAAAGAAAATAAGCAAGCAAGTAAGATAGAGAAAGGGAAGAGAATAAAAGAAGACAAAAACAAAGGATGAGTGAGGAATTTTAAAAAACAGAGAATGATTAAAAAAACAAAAAGTGTGTGGGGGGGGAGGGGAAGGTGCCCAGCAGTGAAAGAGGCACAAAGCTAGGAGAAACTAAGAAGTTATCAACTGTATATCATGAACCTAGAATTGTGCTAAGTTCTATGGTGAATCCCTCCCTTTAACAGAATCGTGATACTGTTAAGAGATCATCAGACCAGTACATTAGAGCCCAAATAGGAAAATTTATAAAAACATCTTTTGCACAAACTGAGAAGCACTAACTATACCTGCTTTAGGAGTTTAGGGAAGAAGTTCACGGAGGTTAGAATGCTGGGGAAAGGCTTCACAGAGAAAAGTAAGACATAAGACAGGTCTGGCACGACAGACTGAAGACATTCCTAACTTACAATGTCCCTTTAGCTTCTGAATATCAAGTACAAAAACCATACAAGTAGACGATGTTTACCCTTAGAAACCTAGTTTATAAGGTCATATTATTCACAAGTAACTCACAGTATTTCATTCATCTTTTGGGAATGTTACATATTTTAGAACTACACAGGTAAAGCTAGTGGTAGCATTTAATTGACAAAAGGAAGTAAAGGGGTACATTAACAATCCAAATAACCATTCCAAATGTAAATTCATTGTTCAAAATGTTTTCTATAAAGACTGCAAAAATTCTTTGACACAGTTTCTAAGTCATCTGTGTCTGAAACCATTTCTGCCACCAAAGCTTTTTGAAAAATGTTCATGTGCAGATTCAAACTACCTTTGTGTTAAAATAATAAATATATCTATGTTTCAAAGATCAGATAGATTTTTAAGCACTTAAAAAAAAATAATCTTCTGTAAATACCATCTCTGTTTTTGAGAGAGAGAATGAGGTTATTAAAACACTTGGACAAACTGAAACTATATAATTCAAAGGAAATAGCAAAAAAGTTGCACTGGCAAAGCTAAAATGCCAACTATCCAACAAATGGAATATATTGGTATAAATTTTTTAAAGTTTCCCAGAAATGATCATAAGCATACAGGAAATGATATAGACCTTCTAAATCAGATCAAAAATACTCAGAGCAACATGAAGAGTTAAGTCAAAAATTTAAGGCAAAACTTAAAAAACTATATATTCAACTCTGCTCTACTCACAAACAAAAAGCATTTCAAATACAGAAAGGCTCTAACAGTATAAATTCCACAAATGAACAAGAGCTAAAAGCTAACATTAAAATAACTAGCATTCGCATCTATTGTCAATAAACTATACTGAAACATATTTTAGCTCTAAATACCAAAAGTTCAAAGTTTACAAACTGGTGGGCAATGTGGGCTTTATTCTATTTCCTGTCCTGAAATTAAATTTTTAAACCAAATATCATGTGTTAAAATTTCATGCTGTTTGACCAAAAGGGGATTTAGAGGAGAAATTGGTATCAATGGAAACTTTGCACCACTATTTGAACATCTACTTCTGCACTACCATCAATAGTGTTTTCTTACAAAAGATGATAAACACCTGAACACCAAAATATAATTCTATTTCAGATTTGACTGTCATATGGCTATACAAAACTATTACCCAAACTAATCAGAATCTAACATTGTGCTCTTTACTTTCTAATTTATCCTTACCTATCATACTACCCAAAGGATTTCTTTTAAGTATCTAAAAACTAAATTGATTGGGTATCGATAAAACTTCAAAACATATCTCCTCTCTCACACTTTTAATGTATCTGGTATCAAATAGTTAATAGGAAAGCTTACTTTTCTGAGAATGTCTTTCAGCTGCAGATGATCGGGAAGCAGTCTGCCCGAATACACCAATCTCTGATCCTTTGTCAACTAAGAAATGGGACAAAGAGAAGAATTCAACTTTTTCTAATTAAACAAATTGAAGGTTAGGAGTAACATGCCTAAATTTGGGTAAAATAAAACTCCCTTTAGAAATAAATAAGCAGGAAACAACATATAATTTAAGAATTGTTGTTTTTCCAAATACCACTTAAGACATTTAAGAGCTCAACAAATGGAAATACATCTATTGTAGATATAACAAACTACAGATATTACCAAAATACTTGAGGAAAAATATAAATTGGAAAATTTTTTTTCAGCCATAATGCAATGTATATATCACTGTCACTAAAAACCTTCAAGAATGAGAAGGTAGTTGCCTTTTATTAAGGTAATAGTGGGATAAAACTTCAAAGTCACTAGTTATTTTGCATCATTTCTCAGTATTTTTCATGTAAAATGTACATAGAAGATTCTTCCTCTTTACTACTTACTATCATACAGAACAATTTACTGGTTTTCATGCAAGAATCATCTAGTTTAGTTAAATAACTATTCCACTTTTTAGAATGCCTGCCATGCACACAAATACCTTCATATATTTTTCAAAATTACAAAACTGAAGAAAAATCAATACAAGTGCATAGAGATACAATTGTCATGTCTGTATGCAACTCAGAATAGGAAATAATGTTCTGGTTACTGCCATCATATTTTGTACTTATCATAAATCTACTAAGTGTTCACACTTGTCAGCATTAAAATATTTAAAATTAAAGCTTTTGTTTATAGTCCCTATAAGACCTCCGATTTCATAACTGAGAAACAGACAATTGTTTCTTGAACTCTATCAAAATAATTAAATATTATCTATATCAATGTTCAATATACCAATAATTTTATCATCATTTAATGATGGAAATGAATATTTAGCCTGTGAATCATAGTATTAATATGAAACACTTGCTGGTACTAATCTGGTTCATTTCTGCAAATGGTACTGATACTAGCAGATTACTATGAAGGAAACAGCCATGTAGTTAGAATTATTTTTTCTCTAGATTAGTGGTCAACTTCTAATAAACCACTTTAACCTTTCCACAGCTAGGAACATCCATTTTCAGAAAAGAGAATAAAATAATGTAACAATATTACATGGCATCCCAAAATACATGAAGCAAAAACAAGTGTTGACAAGAATGTACAGAAATTAGAATCCTAATACACTGGTGGCAGGATTTCAAAACAGCATAACCATTGTGAAAACATTCTTGGTGGTTCCTCGGAAGACTAAATACAGAGTTACCCTATGACTCAGCAATTCCATTCCTAGGTATATTCCCAAAGGAATTAAAAACACCAGAACTCCTTATCTCCACATAGCAGCATTATAATGGCCCAAAAGTGCAAACAACCCAAATGTCTATCAAACTAATTGAGAGAGAGAGAGAGAGAAAGAGAGAGAGAGAAATGTATATATGTAACATATATACAATGGAATATTATTCATCCACAGAAATGAAGGAAGTACTGATACATGCTACAACATTGACGATTTTTGAAAACATTGTGCTAAGTGAAAGAAGCCAGACACCAAAGGCCACATATTCTCTGATTTAATTTATACAAATTTATACAAAATGTCTAGAACAAACAAATTTATACAAAATGTCTAAAACAAACAAATCATAGAGAGAAAGTAAACTGGTAGTTGCAATTAGTGGTTGCCAGGGGTCAAGTGGAGAGGTGAATGGAGAATGACTGCTAATGAGTCTATGATTTCTTTTTAGGGTGATTAAAATGTTCTGGAGTAAGACATTGGTGAAGGCTGTATAACATTGTGAAATCTAAATACCACTAATCATACACTTTAAAAGGATGAATTTTCTATGAATCATATCTCAAAAAAGTACGTATTTTTTGTTACTTTAAGTAGAATATTTAAATGCATTCAAATAAGCTGAAATTAAAAAAAAGAGAGAGAGAGAAAGGAATGCTTTTAATTTTATTGTGCTGAAAATAGGAAAAAAAAAATTTCTTGTGCCTAAATTTGGCTAAAAACTTTACCTTCTTCTGAGTAAATACCAATAAATTTAATCTAAACATCAGGCAAACCAGTTGTTAGGCATGATAACAAACAGCACATTGACCAACTGACTAAATTTTTAACTAATTACTTTGGTATTAATTTGTATTGTAAGCTACAGCATTAGGAAAGTATGGATTTTGAGAACTCAATTCAAATTCAACTTAACTTTTTAAGAGTAATGCAAATTTTGTTTATCCAGGCCTGCCAATAATAACACTATCTCTTACTCTGAAAATTGCATTTTGGTATCAGTTAAGGTAAGTAATGTTGGCTGCTCTAACAAACCTTACAATCTCAGTGGCTTAACAACAATAAAATAATTTTTTATCAAAAAAAGACACAGTATTGTTTAATTATAAGAATTCAGAAGACTTAAGACTGGTAAATCTAAATTAAGGTCCCAATTATATTGTCAATTAAAAGTTTCTATTGGTAAGTCAAATCAACTCAATGGCAGTGAGTTTGGTTTTTCTTGGTAAGATATTGGCTATATCATATTAACATATTTATAAATAAACTTAAGCATCTCTGTTAACAACATCATTGTTCCTGTTGCTCAAGCCAAAAATCTCAGACTCATCCTTACCTCCTCTTTCTCATACCCTAAATCCAAGAGTCATCAAATTCTATCAGGTATACCTTCAACCATCATGATTGTTCAACCCCAGACAAAGCATAGTGACATATGGTAGAGTCAGCTAAATTACCAGACTGGGAACAACCTGATACTATTCTGAGTAACCCAGAGACAGAATTATCTCACCCAAATAAATAGATGAACTCACTGGTCAAAAAAATCTACCCACTTACCAGACATTGCTAAGAACCAAGGTAAGGAAAGCTCATTTGCTGGTACAATATGCAAAATAAACCCTAATCTAGGAAAAGTCTGTTTATTTTTCCTTTCAGAAGCTTTCTATCTACCTTTATCTTAAGGAGTTCTGATGGTGCAGTGGTTAAGGTATTCAACTGCTAACCAACAGGTCAGTGGTTAGAACCCACCAGCCCTCTACCATAGAAAGATGAGGCCATCTGCTTCCAAAAAAAATTTACAGCTTTGGAAACCCTATGGGGCACCCCTATGGGGAATCAACTCAACGGCAATGGGTTATCTTAAGTGTGTGTTCCTTTAATGTTTTGTTTAATCAGATATCAAAAACAGATAAAATACTATGCATCCCTAATGCATTTAAAATATTCTCAAGAGTCTGACAGATGGTCTTAAAAAGCCAACAATGCTTTTGTAATTCAAGAAAGCTACCTAGCTGGTATCAAAAAATTAAATTTTTTATGTCAAGGACTAAATGGGTCTCTCATAATTATGTATGACTGAAAAAATTATGTTCCTAGTCAGGACCAGATTAAGGCTTGTGAGGGCCCTAAACACTGATCATCTGTGGTGCCACCTCATCTATTTACTCATGCATTCAAACAGGATATGTGTGTATGTGTGTGTCTTAGCTGTCCATGCTGTAACTTCTTTTTAAATGCCACTAGAATACTAGCAATTGAAAGGAAAAGTGGTAGATGCCATTTTAGTGCAATGAGATGAGCTGGATTATAAAATTTGTAGTTGAATGCAGAGTACTGTTTTTACTATGTATCACATTTTCTAAAAAAAGGATATTCCACATATTCAACAAAGAAAATGAATCAGTGAACTTAGTCGTTTCAATAATCAATGTAAAATTTTGTTGATCTCCTATAATGAAAAATTGACACTCACCAATTTTGCTTTAAATGGCTCATACTTCAGTTTTGATGCTTGTTTCATACAAATTCTTCAATGATTTCATCACAATTAAGCTGTCCAACAATATATACTTCCATACAGAATAAGCATAATGAATCAAGTCTTTCCTGAATCACTGTTGTACCCTGAGGGTTTACGAGTCTCTTTATGAATGAAAATGAGTGTTCTTTTGTACAATTTGTGATCATTAAAGTTAATAATATGCATAAAGCAATTTCAACAGTGGAAAATACAGATTGTATTTAATCTTCTATAATGGAATCATACATGCCTACATGAGTAAAATGTGTCCTTCCTGAATCTATAAACTTAGTTCTCATGCAAAAATGAAATTGTACTACTTCTCCACAATGGTTTGTATTTAAGTCATTGAGATAAGCCTGCCCTAAATTTTTGGATGTCTTCATGCATTCTTCAGCAGGTAAATCCACACTGTTTAAGAAGGATAATCTATGTGAAAGAACTTCATACACTTTCATCATTCTTGTCATGCAAGATTCAAGTGTTAGATGATGGTGTAGTATGTGGTTAAATGAAATTGATCTCCAGCACTCAATGATCCTTTTGGAGCAATTCCAACATTCACTTGTTTCTTTCTATTGCTTGTACAACAGTGAACTATTTGATAATCAGTATTTGTATTTCTTTTATTTACAAAATTTTCAAGCTCTTCTCTTCCTGTTAATAATTAGTAGAGATCTATGCATGTCTTTAAATTTATTTCAGAATCTTGGAGAGCTTGACTGTACAGTGAAAATGTTACAATATATTATTCCACGTAACCAACGTAAATACATACTCTAGTCTTTATATTTTGTTGTGAATATTTTCAGCTGCTCTTCTGATATCTCCTTCAGCATTATTTTCTAGGACATCGAGAATCTGAGTGTACAATTCCAGAATTACACTCATGTCTATAGAATGTGCTTCCCAACATATATCACAAATGCATTTTAATACTTGGATCGTTGCCTAAATATTTTTTAAGAACTGCCCATTGGTGAGTAGAGGTAGCAAAAAATATGTAGGTATTGTTGTTGTTGTTATATGCCATTGAGTCGGACCCAACTCATAGCGACCCCTCCTTGGGTTTCCGAGGCAGTATCACTACGGAAATAGATTGCCCCATCTTCCTCCCGAGGACTGGCTGGTGGGCTTGAACCGCCAGCCTCCTTGTTAGCAGTCAAAGTGCCTTAGGCACTGTGC